GTATCGGTGAGTACCTAAACTGAAGTACTCGTACTTGTACTCAGTCTTGAAAAAACTGGTATCGGGACACCCCTACTTATCATCCAATTGGATCGTCTATCGGCGATAGCAGTGACCATGATTTATGATCTGAAAATAGGGACAGTTTCCCATCCCTAAAGGCGTCTAGTGTTTGTGTATACACACATCAATGAGAGGGCTTGATGTGCAGGTGCATGACAGCCTTGACTCAGTCAATCTGCCCCAGGGCAGCTGACACTGGATAGATCAAATTTAATTTAATTTCATTTTATTTTAATACAGAATTGAATTAAAATGACATATTTCAGTTACTTGCAGTTAGTCATGGAGTAATGTTTAGAATTACATGGCTCAGTTATAAGACACTGATAAGGACTTCAGTTGTCTTTGTTCATAAAATTAAAATTTTCTTTGAAGCTCAACTCTTCCTGCCGTAGGAGGCCAACTTAAGTGACTTTCAGGAACACAAGAAATAAACATTTCCCGACATACACCTTTGTTCAATGTTATCTTGCTGAAAATGAACTTTCCCAGCTTCACTTGGGTCATTACCTGACTGACAACAAAGGACTGCACAATGTTAGAAAGATATCCTCTGTACAATATCACAATCAGTTGTAATAAACCTACATTTTCCTCACTTCTCACTTTATCTTCTGTCATTGAAATCATTTAAATCTGGTGTGAGTATCTAGGTCAGTGAGTGTCTATTGGATTGATTATATCTGTTGTTAGAATATAGAACATGAAATCTTGATATAAAATAGCAACAGGTTTATACAGGGTTCATCCAGGGTCTTAAAAAYTCTAAAGTCTAAAATTTGAAAWTCAAAKTTTTAGGCCTAAAAAAGTCTTWAAAATGCCCAGYTTTTCATCCAAGGTCTTAACTTTCATTTTGTCAGGTCTTAATTTTTAAACTTCCGATTATCCCTGAGAAGTGTTGGCTGCATAAATAAACAGAGGAAAGGACAGTAATCAGAGGTTGGTGCCATCTGACTTCATGAAGTGTTTTCTACCAGTTTTGGTCTGTGCTTAAATTACAAATCCCACAGGGATAGCTGCAGGAAAGAAATGGCACAGTTTACTTCCATMTTTTTAACCTCTTTGTCACACAGCGCCTGCATATGGCACCTTGTTTACCTGCAAAACAAACAAAAAACAAAGAAGTTCAGTCATGTCCACTGCTTATCGTTTAAACATGGAAAGTGTGTTTTCAATGAGACTTGACTTGATATCTGTGATTTTTGCGTTCGGTTGGAAGCGGCCCACAGCAGTCATAGATATGACAGTTTCAGTAAAATAATTTAGTGTTCTTGTATTAAAATTAAATATTCTTTAATGGCTAAATTGATAGCAGTAAAAGGTTTCAATGTTAAAATTTCTGGGACCATTTGAATGTTTCTTAATGCGTCGGTTTGGTCTTAAAGGGTCAATATCATGTAAAATCAACTTTTTAAATTTCATATCATGTTATAATGTTAAACTCTGATAAAAACATGTCCAAAGCCTTGCTCTGACTCATTCATCATGTTTGAGAAATCCTGCAGTGTTTTTATGAAGCCATGCTGAGGAGCAAAACGACAGGTGGGGACCAGAAACACCTTTTGGTACCAGTAACACCTTTTGGTACCAGAAACACCTTTTGGTACCAGAAACT